CAAATTTGAAGGGCTCAATTTTTTATAGTTGTAATAAAATTATTATAAGTATTTTTTAACAAAATAATTCTATTAGATCTTTTAATTTGTTTGTCTTTCTTTTAGTTTGTTTCGAAACTCTAAATAATGTTTCTTTCTTTTTTGTCAATTTTTTACATTTAACTTCCACATGATATGTTTAAGATCACAAGATTAAAAAATATTTTGATATTATATATAGATGTATGTATCTTTAGTTTAAGACCATAGAAAAAAAATGTATGCTCTTGTCTCAAGCTCTTTCTCTATAAGGCCATTATACACTTTCTGATAAAATAAATAACTTGATATAGTATGAGAAAACACATTTAATAAAATAAACATGACTTAGTTATAATCAATTATTATCTTCCCGCGATATTTAGAAAAACTCTAGGCGTACGAAATTGTGCGGGTCAATGGTTGTCGCTCAATGGCTTCTTCTATTTTTTTCATTTGATCTATTCCTAAGGCATTCTCTTTTTTTCCACACAACGTTAAAACCCTTTATCTTATTAAACTTCTGCAAAGAGAAAAAAAATTGTTGAATAAAGTAAGAAGAATATATATACTATAAAATAAGTTAAAACAAATTAAACAATTAAACTAACCACTTCTTTTGATGGATCGATCCAATGTTGATGGACATTTGCACGCATCCTTTTTGGCTTCACTGGATTGAGGCATTTATGTGGTTCTTATCCCCTTATATGGATACATTTTTGTTTTAGAGATAGTTTCATGATCCTTTGCATACTCAAATGCTTGATCATAATGGTAATCGAAAGACTCTCTACATTTTAGAAATTTGAACTCTTCAGGTTGTTCAGAATGTATGAAAATATTGTCTATCAACTGTTGTTTCGAAAGTGAGATCATCTCCCCCTTCAAAATAGCGTAGGATGATGTAATTGCTTCGATATTGTAAGTTTTTTTTTCAAAAATATAGGGTGTATAATAAAATATTAATTACATCCACATAATTATATTATTATTATTATTATAATAAAACAAAGTTTAATCACTTGATTTATTATTTGTTTTTTATATTTATTTATTTTATATAAAATCAATACATATAATAATTTCATTAGATAATAATTTCATTAAATAAAGTCTTATGATGTTAAAGTAATTATAACCAAATATATTATTACAATATAATTTTAATATGAAAAATCAAATCAAATTGATTAAAAGTTTAAAATATTTAATTTAATTGAGCAAAGAAAAATCAAATCAAACCAAAAAAAATAGATCACTTTGAATATATTTTTAAAATTTTGTATAAAGTTCTCTTGTAAAAAATATCTTTAAAAATATTTATGATCTCATTCAATGTATAGAAGATAGAGTGTATGCAATTTTAGTATTATTTTGTGAAAGTAGCTAAATAGAATATTCAACTCAAATGCGGTTAATCAATATAACAAGCCTGATTAGATATTTAAATCTTTTGTATTTTAGTACTTCAATCTCATCTAATCTCACCTCAACTTCACTCTTCTCATACTCATCAAACTTATAGTGTGTTTATATATATATATATAAATCAAAATAAAATTCATTAAAGTAATAATACTACCTCCGTCCATTTTTAATTGTCATAGTTTCCTTTTTTAGAGTTAAACCATAAAAAAAATTGACTAACATTTTATGATGTATTTTTTCATCATATTGCTATACAAAAAATTGCAATTTATAGTACTTTTCATATAGTTTTTGAATACCTAAATCTTTGTTTAAAATATCGAATTAATGTAATCTAATTTAATCTTGAAAATTAGTCAAATTGACTTTCAAAAAACGCAATATGACAAATAAAAGTGGACGGAGGGAGTAACGCATACCACATTTGCCTTGGTCGTCGATACTAAGGAGACAATTTTTGCCCACTCACGTAAATTTGACCTAAAAAAACAAAGAAATGATTATATACTTTACTACTAAAAAATTAAAATACATTCTTAAAGAAACTCAATTGAGCAATCGCAAGGTCTCCGGGCACTGATACTCTTGGCTAGGAGCGTCAAATGGGCGGGTTGGGTTATATTAGAGATATTAAAATGGATTGATATAGAAATTGGGTTCGGTTTTGACCCGCCCAAGTTTATATTGGGTTCAAATGGGATAAAAATTGGATTGGATCCTAACTTGCCCAGTTTTACTCGGTTAACCTCAATAATTTCAATATATTGTTATTTAACTTTTGAAACCACAATTTAAATTTCAACTTAAGAAAATTTTAAAAAATAAATTATAAATGGATAGATAAATCTTAAAAGATATAAAATAGATAGCAACTGATACCTTAAATATAGGAACATACATTACATCAATGCAAATAAAGAGTTAGGTTGAAATTGGAGATCAAATTGGGCTCGATTGAGGATTCTCTTAAAATGGATTAAAACTTTAATGGGTTTAGACATGAGATTGAAGCCAATACAAATTATCCTGAGTTCAATCCTTAAAATTCTGACCACAATTTAATTTCAAATGGGCTAAATATTGGATTGGGTCCTGACTAGCCCAATTTGACTCGCTTAGCCTCAATAATTTCAATATATTGTTATTTAAGTTTTATAACTTCAATTTAAATTTCAACTCAAGAAAATGTTAAAAAATAAGTTACAAATGGATAGATAAATCCTAAAAGATATAATATAGATAGCAATTCATACCTTCAATATATGAACATACATTACATCAATACAAATAAAGAGTCGGTTTGAAGTTGAAAATTAAATTGAGCTCGATTAAGAATTCACTTTAAATGGGTTAAAGCTTTAATAGGTTGAGATTGAAGTCAATACAGATTATCACGAGACTAACCCAGAATACCTATAGTTGGGTCACTTTTGACACCCATACTCTTGACTCCAGCCAGAGGTTTCATGATTATGTATAACACTATGCAGATAAAGCAAAAAGAATCTCATGAGAAACATATATTAGTTATGCTTATATTAATTATACATAAACTATTTTTATGCATTATTTGGTTTGATATATTAAAAATAACATATATTGCTTTAAAAAATTAATTATAAAGATATCCTCCACAGTTATGATTGTAATAAAAAGTTGAGAACAATTGAGTCTATAATTATGTTAATGCATGCATTAAAAACATTACATTATTAATACCTAGAAATTCATGATATTAATAATATACCCACCTTAATACACAATAGAGTGTATAACTAATACAAGCTTTAGACATACATGAAAAAGTGTACCAAACCAAGATACTATTAATATCCAAAGTTAGCATAATATATATACATGCATTATTCTTCTATTACACTCGACTCTATCAATACATGTATTATTTCACTTAATACACACTACCAAATGACTCTTTTAAGTGTATTTTACTCTTTTCCTATTTTAGGTATATTTTATATAAGGAAAAATATTTTTTAAGTGTTTGTCTGTCAAAAAAAAATGGGGAGAATATTTTTCACTAAATAAAAAAAGAAAAGAAAAAATGAATTACCTTGCTCTTGGATGGATCATGGAAGTCACTTTCCTATACGATTATCTCAAATTTTATCCCCATGTCATTATTTTAACCAACACTTAAACATTAATAGCAATATTAAATAGTAATAATTTTTTTGTTAAAACACTACACAATCTTATATTATTATAATCTCTAATAAATATATTTTCTTGAAAATACCATCCGCTCTCCAACTATATATTATTGTACGTAGCCCATATTGCAGCTCTTGATGTAAATATATTAACAGCATTTCTTCCTCATGAAGGAGACAATAGATTTGATCTTATGGGTTTAAATTATATATATATTGATAGCACAATTTAACTTACAACTATATGGTATATGAAGAGTTTTCATTGTTATACGTCCGTTCAACGGAAAAGAACATAAACATAACTTATACTAGCTCGTATATGATTGAGAAAATGATTTACAGAATTTAAGGACGTTCATTACATGTCAAGTGTGTATTCAAAGTACCGATCCTTAAATAGTCATCTTCACAGAATTGAATTATTATTTTTTTGTTTTACCGCACCCGGTGTCCGGTCCGGAGCAGTGGCGGATCTAGGGTTTAGAGTCCGTGGGTGCCAAATAAACTTATCGATTAACAATTATAAAAAAATAAAAAATGTGTCAGCTATTTTTCCTTAAAAGAGCGTGCTTGGAGCCTTTTTTTTTTCTTAAAAAACGTATGCAGCAAATTTCTCAAAAAAATAGGTACAAATGGGATTCGAACCCGCAACATCAGCCTTCTAAAGTTGCCCTCCTACCGTGGCACCACAAGCCAATTTTGTTCTCTAGGTGGCATGCTTTATATTTATATAAATATTATTATACACCTATGTATATATAGAGTTTCCATCGAAGTTCGGGGGTGACGTGGCACCCCCACAGCCCTTCATAGATCCGCCCCTGGTCCGGAGCCTGAGTAAATCCGAATTCGCATCAAAAAGTTCTACGTGAAGGTAAAGTACTCACTGACAAAGGTGACTCTGTACCAAGGGGACTTAAATCCAAGACCTTTTGGTTAAGAATGAAAATATACTTATCACCCCACCACAACCTTCGTAGGTGCACAAAATTGAATGTGAGGATAGGTTCGACCTTGAATCTTTTACAAACCATCTTGATTTAGATGTCTGCCTGTCTATACTAAATAAATAAAAGGTACGCAGATATAATACCAAAATATTGGTTAGTATCTTCCTAGTTATTGGGTAGCTTGTTAACTCTCTGTTCTTGTCTATATTGGATCACTATTCCTCTTCAATCACTTCAGACCTCACGAGATGACTTGCTGAGTTAATTCGAATTTAATCGAACTTCTGTATCAATTAGTCACAAATTCTGTTTCCCTAAATGTGAACCAAATTAAGTAATTGGTTCACATTTATGTGTGATTAAAAAGAGAGGTGTGATTGTCCATGATTATACAAAAGAACAATGAACATTTGGCACATTAACACAATTATGAAGATTTCTTTAATTCTTTTTCCATTTCTCGAAACAGGCTCAACTCGGCCATAAAATTAACTTTACATATAAATCAATCCTAAGCGCCTACCTCAAAACAGCTTCCTACTAACAACCAAGAGCAAGGTCGAAAATCTCAATTTTCATTTCTATCATGCTCTCTCCTTTCACCACTAATAATATACAAGTAAAAATGGACTCTTACTTCTGCAAGAAGCATTACAAGGATGATCGAACGGCAAAAATTCAGGTCAATGCCTGCTTAAACTGTGACCATCTCTGTTCTTGGAACTCCAGGCTTCGTCTCCAAACACTTCCTCAATCATAGAGCAGGTTGGTAACAAATCAACTTCATTCTTAGCACAGCTTAAGTACCCCGTGTCCCACTCTTTACCATTAGATGGCTCCATCACAAAATCATGCACACTGCCAATGCCAACACCAGCAAAATGACTTGCCCAGTGTTTACAATCATCAGTTTTTACCTGTGGTGTTTCTGAAGAAGCCCCAGCTGCATCAGTGGTACAAGAGTTATCTTCGACATCAGGGTTACCCACTTCATTTGAATGATGTCTGTCTAGAGGCTGAATATTGTGTCCACAACTACTGTTATTATCAATCAATTCATCGGGACATGCTTTTGACGCATCACTCAAGACCTTCCTCCTGCAAAAGTTTATCGTCCGATAATCTTCAAAGGTTGCAACACCAGCTTCTTCATCATATGCTTGTTTTTCAGTCACATATATCTCATTGTGACCAGGATAATTTTGATATATTGGTGATTCAACCATAGAATCCTCATCTTCATCTGTCATTTGAGCTCCCGTAGCAACAACATCGTCATCGATCTCCTGCCATTCATCGTTATCACTGTCTATATTTGATGGGTCAAACCTATTCTGCTTGGCACGCTTCCGCAAAATAAAGACATTGAAGTAATAGCTAACGAGATCTCTCTTGCTCCGTGAAGGAAATTCAACAGCAAGGTGCTCCCAGAAATTCTTGCCTAGTGCTGCAGGATTGGAAAATACAACTTCATGAAATAATTCCTCTTCCTCATCACTCCATTTCGCTGCCACTATCTCTCCCATATCATAAACACCCAACCTAACAAATGTTTCCTCACCCAAGGCCGCCTTAAGTTTCTCCCTTGCTTCCATGATGTGCAGCCGAACACATCCAAAGGAACCAGCATCTTCACAGGAACACCCAATTTTTCCTGCTCCAACATTCTCCTCGTGGTCTGCAGGTAATTCCAATTTAGGCATTGGAATGATACATGTCCCAGCAAGTTTATTTTCTTCATCATGATGATCCACAAAACCTGATTCTAGAGCTTGAGATGGAAGATTTGGGCTTTCTTGAGTGCTCTCCTTCATGGATATATTTTTACAATCATATGCACCCCATTCTGGTAATTCGGCTTGGAAATCTGGTCCAATGGGAACCGATTTCCGAGGAGGATTGTTCAAAAGAGGGGAATAGACCTCCATTGGATGAATAACAACTCTGAATGAAGGATCAGTATTGTAATATTTAGAAGCCGTCAATACATGAAAAGGCACCTCGGACCTGATGTCTTCTTTGCTGGTGCTACCAGAGGTCCAAGAAGAGTTTGAAGCAGAGCCATGAATGCTCGTCTCAATTGCTTTCTCGGAAGAAACAGGAACTGCAGCCACATCGCAACTATCAGGTCTCTTCTCACTGAAAGCTTTGACTTCTGAAAATTTCTCCTTATCTCCACCTACCAAAGACCATAAATTTAGATCATCCAAGGATAAAGAAATCCACAAATTAATTCACATCCAAACGTGCTCCTAAAAGAGCAACCTCCTAATGACAAGATGCTTGCCAAGAGTATCAAAAGTTGTGTAAATAAAAGCATTCAAACCATTACTCACAAAGCAGTTATAACAACGTAAATCATTTCAGGAATTTGATAGAATAATCTCTTCCTAACCTGAAGTGTAAGAGTTAGGAGCCACTGATTCACACGGAAACTGCAAAAAGGAAACTAGCTGACTACTCGGTTCTACATGTCTCGGCTGCTTAGATGAAACCTCATACAACTTTTCTTCACTGTATGGCCTTTTTTGCACCATATTTAACTGCAAAAGGAAGTTGAAGAAGGTGTTAAGCAGATTCAGAAAAGGGAAAATGGAGGAGAATTCAGTTCCACACACTCAAAAACATTGATGCAGCCAATTCCATAAGACGCACAAGATATCCAGAGCATTCTTCAAACAAAAAATACATGAAAGATGTGGACACAACATCCAGCATTGAACACAAAAATGAAATCTTTTTAGTCATAGCTAATCAAAACATTGAGAATTTCTAGTTAAAGATAATAACTCCCCCCCACAAAAAAGGAATTGACACTAACAAAATACTGCATAACGACAGGAATTAAACTATCAATAGCATAGTAATAAAGAACAAGAGAAAAATCAGAGAGAATGTTGAAGGAAGTAGCAACATAGAACACCCATATGATAATAAAGAGCAAATATAGACAAGACTACAAATTGTCGAGCACAGTTGGACTTTCAGGTAGATAAACAGTCCACTATGTTTCAAGCAAAGAATCTAAGTAATACAGTAGTTGAAAAGGTTGCCACTCGAGAGGTAAATGTCTAAAGGACATAGTAATCATCATCATCATTTGTATAATAAGTTTCTAATTTGTGACACGTGGCACGTGTACAGTGAAAATGGAGTGGCTCAGAAAGTTTAATAATAAAAATCTAAATATTAAAAAAAATTGTTTATTTACATGTGCAAAATAAACAAATTTTAAAAAAAAAAACAGAGTGGGATCTTTGGTTTTGAGCTAATTACAATCAATCGACAGTCGAATTCAGGAAATCGAATGTATTTTTTTTGTTTTGTTCTGGAAATCGTGACCTAAAATGAATTAATTACAATTTTATGAATAAAAAAAAACTAACCCTAGATCCCCAAATTTGAAATCGATGTAAAAAAAAATTTTAAAAATCAAATCGACCAGATATGATGCAACGAATCGCAGATCGAGCACGAAGAAAGACTGTTTAAACAAAAAAATCCTCAAAATCACAAACGAAAAAAAAAACACAATCGATCCTTTTTATTTCTCAAGAAATCAAGAGATGATAACAAAATCAAGCTAGAAACTGAATTAATTTCATGAAATGAAGGTAGATCGAACAGATCTGATGAAAAAACGATAGATCTAGAAACCCTAACCTCGGAATTCGATTTCCAGACGGATAGATCCAAAAGAGGTATCAATCGATAGAGAATGAAACGAATTAGAAGGATCGGAGGTTGATTTGATCTTCAAGAAGAAAAATCAAGGTCGATTGAAGGGGAAGAAGATGAGAAATTGGAATTGGGGAAAAAATTGATGACGAAAAAATAGAGGGTAAAGATGGGTCAAAGGGGATTCGGTTATTGATGTGCCCGAAATAGTAACGCGTGTGGTCAAAAAGGGCTCCGTAATCACAGGTAATTACGACAAATACCCCTGGTATTGGAAAATAATGGCTGCCCCACTTTAAACTATTTATCTATGTGCTCAATCTGTGGGCTAAAAGAGTTGGAAAGAAGTGATGGGACACGTGCCATGTGCTAAATAGTTTTATCATATTTTTTAAAATAATTATATTACCTATAATAATAAATTTCTATATAAGCATTTGTTGATGATTTTAGTAAAAATAATTGATAGTATTTGTTTTATTTGAACGTATGTGGTATTATTTGATTAGGCATAAAATTTAAGAAAAAAATTAAAATTTATGGTATAAAATAAATCTTAGATATTTATATGGCTATATATTATTTCATCAAAAGGTGAAATGAAAATTTTAGAATAAAGTTATTTTTAATTATAAAGATATGATATTAAATGAGAATTTTAAAATTAAGTTATTTCTAATTATAAAAATGTGACATTGAAATGAGAATTTTAATTTAAGTTATTTCTAATTATAGGATATGACATTAAATGAGAATTTTGAAGTTGAGTTATTTCTAATTATAGAAAATTGCATTCTTCTTTATACGAATTAAAAATGAAAGTATGTCACATAAATTAAGACAAAGCGGGTAACTTATTATTTCATATCATATAATAAGTCTTGAATAGCTTAGTTATTTATCCTATCCTTTTTTGGTATGTTCGTACATTCATCTCAACATCATCATTTTGCTACTCTCATATTTTGAATATGTGAAGTTTTTGACTGACCAATAGTCCGTCCATACAACGTAGCTAGTATGACCATCACTTTATAAAACTTATCTTTAAGGTTTGGTGACACATTTTTGTCGCATAAGATACCAAATGCGATTTTCATTTCATCTATATCACAATACGATGTGTAACATCATGGTCCACCTCTCAACTTCCTTAGATTATGAATCTAAATACTTGATCTCTCTTCGGGGTTGTATATGTATCAATCCTTACTTCCACATCTATCACACGAGTCATATCATTGAACTTGCACTCCAGGTACTCTGTCTTAGTTCTATTCAGCTTAAACCCTTTAGACTTTAAGATTTGTCTCCAAACCTCTAACCTAGCTATTATCAACTCTGCCACGTGTCTCGTCAATTAAAGCTATGTCGTCTGCAAATAGCATACATCATGACATCTCCCATTGGATATGTTGTATCAATTCATCCACTAGTAATGTAATTAGAAATGGGCTAAGCATCGACCCTTGGTGCATTAATCTCATCTCCACTTGAAAGTGCTTAGAGTTTCTTCCTACTGTCCTCATTGGGTATTGACTCCGTCATATATACATCTCCTTAATTATTCTAATTTACGTCACATGTATACCTATAACCTCCAAACATCTCTATAACACCCCTCCTATAGACTTTGTCGTAAGCTTTTTCTATGTCAATGAACAACACATATAAGTCCCTCTTCCTCTAGCCTATAATATTCCATCAATCTCCTAATCATATGTATCGTTCATTTAGTCGATCATTCCAACATAAATTTGAATTGATTTTCGTGAAGTCAATTTATCTAATTTTCTCTTTTGGGGGGAATAAAGTCAATGTACTTAAGACATGACAGCTCCTATGATTCATTACTCACTATCTAGAGCGACATTAATAGTAAAATAAAATAATAAAACAATACGAGTATTGAAGTCAATACATATAGTTTGAGCAGCATTAGCATTTAACAAAAAATATTTATATATTGAACCTAAATTTTATGTATGTTCCTGCGTGGTTAGATTTCTCAAACATGATTTTTTTAACGTTTAAAACTTGAGTTTTCTTTTCCAAAATAAACTTTGCTCATGCTTGCATCTAAGGATAAAATCTTTAGTATAGTAATTAATACTCATTCTTTCATAGTTCTTCCCACATCACAAGCAGAGAGGAGAAGTGAGCAAATGCAGTGATATAGAATAAGGGCTGGGCTAACAGATAATCATACTTACCTGGACGGAGTCAATGGGTGATCTTGAAGATCCATGGCCTAGGCTGGTGACCTCATTGCACTTAGGAGGGGTGCTCGCCTACGGTCGTCCCAAGTGGTTGAGCCTACGTCATAATTTGTGGCAGAGGGGGCCTGCGTTCGCGCGGCCCCTACCCAAATCTAAGTCCAATATTTGTGAACTTTCAGGTCCAAAGGTTTGAGCTAGACTCAATAATTTCTGATGTCTTTGATGTAAATGTTGTATTCCCTCCGTCTCTTTTTATATGTCATCTCTTTCTATAAATAGCTGGACCACAATACTTGTCATTTTATAAAATTTATGCATAAATTACCATATTTTGCCTATTATAACCTCGATAGAGTATTAATTAATCTTGAAAATGTATTCATCATTTATTATAAAGTTGACTTAAGAAAACATTAAATAAGGTTAGAATGGTAAAGTTATATTATTTCTTAATGCAAGTGCAAAGTAAAATGTGACATATAAAAAGGGATGGAGGGAGTATTTGTTAAATGTTTGACTTGTGGCACAACAATAATAGTTACTTTCTAAGTGTGAAACAATTAATATGTAATGTAAATTGTTGAAAGTGCACTAATTGGAAAGTACTTAATAAAGTCTATGCAAAACCAGCAGCAATTGGCCTTTGTTTATTGCATGTTTAAAAGCTATGTCTAAGCCTGAGATGTGACACAAGTTTGGAAATAGTGGAAGTGCAACAATAAAGTTGAGTCTATTTTTTGTGTGTGTGTGAAAGAACATAGTTAGGCATTTAGCCAAAACTTGCCTAACAATGTACTTAAAAAAAAACTTGCCTAACTGAATTAGCTAGAGGGACTATAAAGTGTACTACAGATCTAAAAGGAAAAAAAAAAGTCTAGAATTTACTAGAGGTTGGTTTGGCTAATTTACGTTATGATACCATATAATAGTGTCACCTCAAAAGTCATAATTGACATGATGCAACTAAAAATAAAACTTGGAATTGTTTGCTTTCCTTCCAAAGTAACAAAAACTATTACAGCAGTTCTTAATAGTAAAGATTTCGAGTTTGAACACATATGGAGTAGTATAACAGTAACTACTATGTCTCAGCTCAAATAAGTTTCTATCAACTATATTAGTCCTCGACCATGTTTCTCCATTTAAATAATAGATGGATCGGAGTTTCAATAAGAAAATGGTCAACCTGATCAAAACATGCCTGATTTATAACATAAAGTACTGATCATAATGCCATTAAATAGGCTGCTGAAGTTCACACAAAAAAAAACATGATATAAAGAGAAGCATTTTTAACAATGCTAACAGGAAACAACAGTTCTAAGCTTGAATGGAAAAGACAAGAATTGGAAAAAGATAAATAGATTTTGCTCTCATGTTTAGTGCTTATTCCAGAGGGAAGGGAAGATTAACTTGCTTATGCCACAGCAGGCATATCCTTGAGCCATCCATCTAAAGGTTTCCCAATGGAGTAAACGATGAACCCGATTTCTCTGAGCTTCTGTTCATCAATAATGTTCCTTCCATCAAACACAAATGCAGGCTTTTGCATGTTATCATAAATCTTCTTGAAATCAAGAGTCTTGAACTCATCCCACTCGGTCAAAAGACAGAGGCCGTGGGCGTCTTTTGTGGCTGCATAAGCATCCCATACTACATTGAGTTGCTTCATCACAGTGGGGCTCATTGGCTGGAGGTGAATTGGATTATCCCAATCAAACTTTCTCATTGACAAATCCTTTCGAATTTGATCCTCAGTGACCTGCGGATCATATATGCTCAAGTTAGCATTGTCTCCCAATAGGCCTTTGCACACATCAATTGCCGGTGTCTCTCTAGTGTCACCTGTGTCTTTCTTGAAAGCAAATCCAAGGATAGCAATCTTCTTGCCTGAAACTGTGTTGAACATAGAGGAGACAACTCGGTTAACAAACCGATTCTTTTGGTAGTCATTCACCTGAATCACTTGTTTCCAGTAGTTGGCAACTTCTTTGAGACCATTGCACTCACAGATGTAAACCAAGCTGAGAATATCCTTCTGGAAACAAGAACCACCAAAACCAACACTGGCATTGAGGAATTTTGATCCGACCCTCATGTCCTTACCAACAGCATGGGACACTTGTGTGACATCAGCTCCAGTTGCTTCACAAAGAGCTGACATCGCGTTAACTGATGAAATCCTCTGAGCCAAGAAGGCATTGGCAGCGAGCTTTGAGAGCTCAGCTGACCAAAGATTGGTGCAGATGATTCT